ATATAAGTATGTTGATTGAAAGAATAGTTGATTATTTGATATATTGAATGAATAATTGAAGCTGATATTTATGATGTGTTTAACGATGTGTTTCAGGATGAGTTTGCTGGCGACGGTGTCGATTTATATGACGACGTAATAGCAGCCCCTGCCGGTGGTAACGGTGGTGTGTCTACAGGAAATAGTGGAGATGGTGGAGGAGATAATACTTCACCAAACGAAGAAACTAATGGTAGTGCACCTTACCATCAACTTGGGAATAATATCCAGCCAAATCAGATTGGAAGACGTCATCAATTATACGTTGGCAATTTGACTTGGGTATGTAACTAATTTTATTAAAATATACGAAACATATATTATAACCACTTTAAATAGTTTTGATATTGTTCGCCATAAAGAAAAATGTTCGAAGCAACAATTGCATTGTTTCGACAAGCACATGCACAAAACAAATAATAATTCTATTCTTATTATTATGTTTGCATTGCAGTGGACTAGTGATCAAGATATAACTGATGCAGTACAAAGTATCGGCGTATCAGATTTTGTTGAAGTGAAATTCTTTGAGAATAGAGCCAATGGACAATCGAAAGGTTTCTGTGTGATATCCCTGGGTTCAGAACAAAGTATGAGATTGTGTATGGAAAGATTGCCTAAGAAAGAATTGCATGGTCAGAATCCAGTTGTAACATTTCCCACTAAACAAGCTTTGAATCAAGTAAGTATATCTGCACTATTTAAAGACAGTATATAACTTTGAGATTAACGTTCTTCAGATTTAACATAAATGTGATTACATCGTCCAGAAATTAGAACTAATTTTCTAATTAAATTGAACAAGTAAAAAACAAACCTATAGTGTTAACAACATGAAATTCTTACTTCAACCCTTCATTTTTTTTGTTAAAGCAGAACTTGTTAATCAAGTTTTGATTGTTTTACAAAAAATGACAGAACTGAACATTTCTGAAAAATTTGGTGTATGTTCTCAGTTCGAGTCTCAGTGCAAGACACGTCCAGCTCCAGCTCCCCAGCAAAGTCAGAGTCAGCGTCCCCACAATCCGCATCAACATCAACCACCAATGCCCCCTCATCAGCAGCATCCACAACATCCCCAACACCCGCAACATTCGCAACAGAATCACGGTCCAAGGATGATGATGGGACCCCCTCAGGGTGTGAGACCACAGCGAATGCCGCCTCCTGGTATGGGTCCTCCAGGTCCTGGTGGACCTGGTCAACAGGGCCCACCGAGAATGCATGGTCCACCAATGGGCCCGGGACCAGGACCTCATCATCCTTTGCCTGGACATCCGAATCAAGGCCCACCGCCTCCCGGATATCAGCAAGGACCTTGGAACGGGCCTAGACCTAACGGTCCACCTGGGCCTCCGAGAGGTCCTAGTGGACCTGGTGGCCCGGGGCCTCAACAAGGTCCTCCTGGACCTGGTCCTGGCCAGCATCGGCCACCAGGAATGGTATGTACAATGTTGAGTTTATTTCGAATGTGACTTGTAGCATATATGCTTGCCCTTCCATTAATAAACTTTTGAGATTTTTCTGTAAAAACGAATTTTATGTGAGCTATAAGTATATTTTTTTACACTTACATGTCTTACGCGTAAACAGAGTTGCAATAGAGACCTTTCAGAAGCCAGTTACCATATGCAACAGGTAACACACAACGTGTTGTTTTCCTTGCTTTTCACGTTGTCCGAATTGTCAACGACAATTTTTATAAATATCAAGAGGAAGTATTCTTAACTCTATTAATCGGAAAACACATAGATCTTCTTCCGAATCGAATTATATTTAATTTTTGTTCAAATTCTGCGTTAACATTTATTTTTAATAAATTATTTTTAATAAATGTTTAATTTAAGTGATCCATAAGATGTGTATAACATGAAAAACTTCAGTTTTCCAGCACGTTGGTGAATAAATTAATTTTTAATAAATAAATAACTGGCTCTGATATATTTTCTGTATTGTTAAAAAGATGTATTATTATATCATAATAACTAATGGATGTCGCTATACGCTATTAACTCATTTCATTAATTTCTTGCTGTTATATAGAAAATGAGCATTGGTTGAATTATGGATTACAATAAAATCTTTATTTGTCTTATTCAGCAATTTCATGGTGGCCCGCCTGGTCCACCTGGTCAGGGACCTCCACGCGGCCCTCCTGGACATCCTGGTGGTCCACCGGGTGACCCAAGAGGTGCTCAGCCACGTCCCGAATGGAATAGACCGCCAGGTTCGTTAAACAAAATAATTAATACAAAATTAAATACTGAAACATCTTGGACTACCGTTTTTCCTTCGTTTCATGTATTACCTGTTTTCCTCACAGCTTGTGTAGTCTGCATGATATGAAAATTCTATGTCTTTAACGTTTGTGAAGTATTACCATGCGAAACAAGATGCAAAGAACTTTGATAGAAAGTTTGTCACTTAAAGTAAATAATTGCACGGTGTAATGTGTTGTTGCGAAATAAGTTCACTGACTGAATTATTCAATTATGCATAGGAATGCATCACGGGCCTCAGGGACCACCAGGTTTCCCTCAACATCAACATATGCAAGGCCCGCAACCTGGTCAAGGCCCACCACAGAGAGGACCTCCTCCAGGTTCTATGGGTGGTGAGACATTTATAGGATACTCATTGAATATTAGCAATATGTATTATTTCAGTTCTCTTATAATAATGCATGATATTGAGGGAAATTTTAACACTGCTTAGGAGTATGAAGGTGCAAGGTGTTTCAGACAAAATTAAAGTTCAGAGTAAATTAAAAATCTATTGAAAAAATTAAATAAGAAATATATAAGAAACAATTCTTAAATAATTGTACAAACATATTCTAAAGCAACATTTATTAAATTAATTATTAAAGACATAGCTTGCTAAACTTGTCGCAAGCTAACATAGATATTGATCAGGAATGTTACCAGGTCCAGGAGGACCGCCACCTGGACACGGAGGTCCACCTCAAGGACCACCGCAGGGACCTCCCGGGGGGCCAGCACCGCATGTGAATCCAGCATTTTTTCCACAAGGTCCACCTCACCAGCATCCGGGACAGCATCCAGCAGGTCCCCCTGGTCCACCCCATGGCCCGCCTCATGGTCCACCACATGGCCCACCTCATGGGCCTCCCCATGGTCCTCCGCATGGTCAACCACATGGGCCGCCTCATGTTCCACCGCACGGCTATGGGCCACCTGCGCAGCAGGTACATTCCGTCATCTTTAAATTTTTCTATCACATCTAATTTTATTTTAATTTCATTTGACATAATTTATATTAAATTAATTAAATATATGTTATTTTTTAATGTTGTAGCCGCCGTACGGTGCGCCAGGGCCTGATCATCGTCCAGAAGGACCTCCTCCCCTCACTGAGCAAGAATTCGAAGAGATCATGGGTAGAAATAGAACCGTTTCATCTTCGGCAATTGCGCGAGCAGTATCAGATGCTGCAGCAGGGGAATACGCGAGCGCGATAGAAACTTTGGTTACGGCCATTTCTCTTATTAAACAATCGAAAGTTGCCGCGGATGATAGATGCAAGATCTTGATCAGTTCTTTACAAGACACTTTACGCGGCGTCGAGACCAAGAGCTATGGGTCCGCTCGAAGAGGTAAATACGATTCATATGAACAGATAAATAAATTGTGTGCTTCGTACAAACAGTGACAGTGCCATATTTTTGCAAAAATCTATAGTTTTATATTGTTAAACTATTAATTATTGTTTATTAAATTGTTTCAGAACGATCACGCTCGCGGGACAGAGAACGCAGTCACAGAAGAAGACGCGAACGTTCCAGGAGCCGTGATAGGGAGTACAGAGAGAGAAGCAGGGACAGGGACAGGGAACGTGACAGGGAACGCGATCGTGAAAGGGAGAGGGATCGTGATCGTGACAGAGAACGTTATTATAGTGAACCATACCCACGGGAGAGATCACGAAGCAGGGAACGGGATCGTGAACGTGAAAGGGATCGCGAGTATAGAGAGCGAAGCAGAGAAGAAAGGTAAGCAGAAAATATATCATCAATTATTTTAACCGTCGATGATGAACATATTTTTATCTGAACGATAATGAACCAATCGTAATTCATAATTGACAACGATTTACGTGATCTAGAAAAGAGAAATTAGTATGACAGTTTCATATTTACATTGTAATATGCAGCTGAAATGTATCGCGTGTCTCGCAAATGTTCTCGCAAATGATATCGTTAGATCAAGGATATTAAATTAAGTAGTGTAAATTAATTGTATTCATATTGCATTTCTCGAATCATGTCACACTGCACGAAATTTCTATAAAATCACATTCGTTTTCACGTATATTTTAAATGTAGTATTAAAAAGATATCAGAGTTCTGAAATGACTAGTCTGTTCTCTGCATTTTAATTTTTGCGTAGATTTGTAGGGTAGGGTCGTGAGAACAGTTTATGAAAATTGTAGGCTATTCAGTGACGGAAAACAGTTTATGAAAGTAATATTTCGAACTCGAATTTGATCAATGCCATATCGAATTTTTCAAGTTGTTCAAAGAAACGGCAATTGTACTAATTTCTAATTCAGGAATGATAAGGAAACTGTTGCTAATTTTTAGTTCATTTTCTTAAAAAAGATGTGACATGGAAGTTTTGCATCTTGTTTTGTCTTATGTTCTCTCAGATTTGTCAATTTTTTTTATTGCTGTTATATAGATATATTTTCTTTAATCAATCTCAAAATATCATTCACAAATTAATGCTTATTATAGTTATTGTAAGATTTAATTGAAAAACACAGTGACTTTATGAAAACTTCGGGCAGCCTGTGTCGTATTATCCAAATTGGATATTTACACGTGATTAAAATAGCAATAAATAGTTGAAACTTTCAATGAAATAAAATGTAATTAATAATGTTTAGCAGAATTCCACGTATGAAATAAGCTCCGATTGTCAAACAGTTAGTAATGTCTTAAATGAGGCATTGATATATACAGTTCAATCGAAGGGAACTGTTATTAAGAATTATTCGTTATATTTATTCATATCTTCAAATTGTTAGGAAAAAATTCGTTTGGAATTAAAAATAAACGTGAAATAATGGAATGCTGATTGTAACGTTCACAATTTGCAGTTATAAAAAATAAAATCGACTCTTTTGCTGTAGTACAAACTTATAACTAAAATGTTATAATTGAAAGAAAATCTGTAATTATGTATAATACATTTGAACTCAGAGTTAGGGACAATAACTCGTTCTAAGGCAGCAACAGAGTTAAACAAAAAATGACACGTTAATTATTAGACACTTATATTTTTACCGTCAATTTTTAGTAAAATAGTTTTTATTACATTTTATTGTATAAAAGTCATAATTGCTTGTTAATTAAAAAATGATATATTACTTTATTGCTAGAATCTTATTAAAAAGTATTTTTCATGCATTACAGTGAAATGTGCAATTTTTTTATTCAATAGAATGTGAAGAAAAGTATCAGCAATTAATAATTAATGTGTCAATTAAATAGATGTGTTGTTAGCGTTGTAAGGATACAAATTGTTCGATAATGTTTACTTTTTATCAAATTGGCATAGAATTTCGGAAATCATATATTCAAATTATATTATTTAAAAAAATTGAAAAACACAGTGACTTTATGAAAACTTCGGGCAGCCTGTGTCGTATTATCCAAATTGGATATTTACACGTGATTAAAATAGCAATAAATAGTTGAAACTTTCAATGAAATAAAATGTAATTAATAATGTTTAGCAGAATTCCACGTATGAAATAAGCTCCGATTGTCAAACAGTTAGTAATGTCTTAAATGAGGCATTGATATATACAGTTCAATCGAAGGGAACTGTTATTAAGAATTATTCGTTATATTTATTCATATCTTCAAATTGTTAGGAAAAAATTCGTTTGGAATTAAAAATAAACGTGAAATAATGGAATGCTGATTGTAACGTTCACAATTTGCAGTTATAAAAAATAAAATCGACTCTTTTGCTGTAGTACAAACTTATAACTAAAATGTTATAATTGAAAGAAAATCTGTAATTATGTATAATACATTTGAACTCAGAGTTAGGGACAATAACTCGTTCTAAGGCAGCAACAGAGTTAAACAAAAAATGACACGTTAATTATTAGACACTTATATTTTTACCGTCAATTTTTAGTAAAATAGTTTTTATTACATTTTATTGTATAAAAGTCATAATTGCTTGTTAATTAAAAAATGATATATTACTTTATTGCTAGAATCTTATTAAAAAGTATTTTTCATGCATTACAGTGAAATGTGCAATTTTTTTATTCAATAGAATGTGAAGAAAAGTATCAGCAATTAATAATTAATGTGTCAATTAAATAGATGTGTTGTTAGCGTTGTAAGGATACAAATTGTTCGATAATGTTTACTTTTTATCAAATTGGCATAGAATTTCGGAAATCATATATTCAAATTATATTATTTAAAAAAATATATAATGGGTTGCAATATAAAAAGTGGACATTATTTGTAGAAGAATTAAGCATCTTTGTTCAGATGCTTTTTGTATTCTTGGCAGCTAATTTCAATACACTTAATAGTAAAGTAATTGATAAATAACGCATTTCCAAAGGTTATTACCATTATAATATTATTAATTATAATTTAATATGCATCACTGCAAAATGCAGGCTTTTGCCTTTCTTTTAACTTCTTTACAACACTGTTTTGATTGTCGATCAATGATTGCTAGCAATAATTATTATTGACTCCTCTTTTATTATTTTATGAAATATAGAAGTGTCTCTTACTATGCTAAAGAAATGTATGGCCTCCATTTTTGAATAATGTTATATTTTTCAAAAGTCTGTATACAACCAAAAGGTTATTAATATTGATTCGCGAGTTATAAATTTGATAAACACAATTCTTTTCGATTCGATTATGCATAAAATTGATAGATTTGTAATTTTATTGATCGATGAGTTCGCCTTGAAATATTCAGTGAGCAATGAGAAATTTCAAAAACTGAACCCAAATGAATTGTGTATTTCTAATTTTAATAACCGATAGACTGCGAATTTTGATGTGAAATAAATCTTTCGCGATGTTAACTTAAGAAATGAAATCTAAATTCAGATTTTCTTTACTGTTCAAAAATAATAATGTGTATAATATTTTTGATGTTCTTCACATTTTCACACATTTTTTAAATTCGCAGTTTGCTAATAGATCTGTAAATTAAGACGTGTTGTCTGCATTTGGATAATGTAAATTCGAGGGAAAAAGACAAATTCTGTACTGGGCATTCAAATTATTCTTGTTACTGCGTGTTTGCGACTGGATGCCAGAAAATGTTCGTTAAATCGACAACATGGATAAGAAGTCAAGATTGAAGTCGCACAATGATAAACTTTCGAATGTATAATCGAGATCTTTTTTCAACATCCTAAACTAATGACCTAGCAATCTAGATTCTTCCTTGAGTACGTCAATACAATTTTTCCCTCTTGTTCCTCCGATGTAGTCACGATTTTCGTTTCCAAAATTGTCGTTAAAGGAAACACATGTAGATGTACACATCATTTGTTATCTCGAATAATTCAATTTTTATTAACACAATAAATACATCAATCCGATGTTTTTAGAACATAATTTAATGATACTACAAATGAAATTTTGAGAATTAATTACTTCATTAATGGTCCATGTAATTCTCAAATCTTTAGATTTGAATATCACATTTTTATACATTAGTTAAGTTCAGTAATTAATTCTCATACATTAATTATTTCTGTAATAAGATTGTTTTAATTTTTAGTTATAAAAACTTAAGAATATTATTATAAGACGTACATCAACAAAATATTCACACTTGTAAGATTGTAGTGCGAATATTTAATTGAAATCTGTTCTAATCCTGAAACCATTATAGACATAAGAGGATAGGTTGAGAGTCTAATGTTTTTTTGTTGATTCCGTAAAGAGGAAATATGCTTTGGAAGAGCTTCTGCCTTTATCTCTTTCTTTCGCACGCGGATAAAGAAAACGGAACTCTTCCATTTACTTTCTTTCTTTTAACCGCTTGGTCTCAAGTCTCTCATTTGGATACTCGATCTGTTCTGATGTCTATGAAAACCATAAAAATACACAAAAAGATGTTCTTTTCTGGTTGATAATTGTATTATGGTTACAGGTTTAACGACGAACCTTACAATTCTCATGATAATTAATTCTATAACAATGCTGTAGTATTTAAGATGATTTCTAATTATTGCCATACTTTTTAGTTTTATGTAAATTCTACGATGAATTATTGTCGTATACAGAAAGAGGAATTTAATAATTTGTATTGTAATTGTATGACGTAGCTTGTTATAACTAAAGCAACGTACTAAGCCAGGTAGTAGTATAAGCCATAACAAAGTATGCATATTTTCCATTAGTACGACACGTCAGTCAGCCAGGCCAAGAGTAAAAGAAGAACCGCCAGAGACGCCACCCGTCTCGTCTTCCAAGGCGTCTAGGTAATTCACACATTTTTCATTAAAGTAAATGCATGTAGATTTTTCCAATTTTATTCGATGCATAACATCATTCAAGTCAAAACCAGTTCACGATTCGAGTGAAAATAAGTTTGAGTGAAAAAGAGAAAAAAAGAGGAAATGAAGAAGAAATTCAGCTTCGAATGTACGTGATAATAAAATGTTTAAATGTATCGTACCAGAAAATTGCATAAATTCAATTAATTTTTGCTTTGTGTAGATAAGAATTGTTCTTAAATGCTTTCTATTATTCCAATCTTCAATTCAAGTATTTATTTCAAAGAAACTGCAAGACTATTCCCTTCAAATTAATCTTTTTATAGAAAAGAGAATTAGAGAGAATTATAAAAGAAGGTAGCGCAATGAGTTTAATTTGTAAGTTCAGAGAGAGAAAGAGAGAACAAAATAGTCTGTGCACCGGTTAAGTAAGATAATTGGCTGACGTGACTTGTGTAGGTATTATGACGATCGCTACAGAGAGCGTGAACGAGACAGAGATCGGGAACGCGAGTCGAGCCGGAGACCATCGGAGAGAGAACGGGAACCGGAACGGGAACGCGAACGTGAAAGAGATCGCCGAGACGAACGTGGAGATTCTTCGCATCGGTCCAGACATTAAAGAAGAGAAGAAGGATATTAAATTATCATAGATAAATCGAGGATGAAGAAGATGGTTGTGTAGTATGCAGTGTTTTCATCGATTTCATTGCAAGCTTCGCCGAGAAACGGATCCAAGAGGACACACACACGAACATCTCCTAAGGACATATGTTTATGTATTTTGTTCGAGTACAATAACGATCTCGATACTTTCTTCGACTATGAAACAAGTCTGATTCGTATAAAGATTATTTCCATTTATTTAATTTTCAGAATTAATACCTTTTTAATACAAGCATTTCATTAGCGTACATTTCTACACATTGATCTACTTTCACCGATAAATTTCGCTTTTACCATCACAATTGTATTATGTTTGAACTATTTTTAGTTGCAATTGGATATGTGAAGCGTCTAAAAATAGGTAAATATTGGTCGAGAAAGTGTTGAGATATTAGTATCGAGTATATTTACTTGACTCGAGCCAAGTTACCACGGATTCTCGCGGGTTTGCGATCGTAATTTAATTTTGAGTCACTGACTAGTTTCGTTCCTTTCTTTTCTCTTTTTACGTAGCGTACACTATTACACTACTTGCTGAAAAAAAAAGCAAAAACCGAAAACGCATACACAACATATGCATATACATATATATCTATGTAACATTTTAAGCAGAGAGTATATCCGTTTAGTTTTCGAGACAGGGAGGGAGAGTATGCGAAAGATAAGAGTGAAGAACAAAGAGAAAGCGCAACAATAGTCGTGTTTAGTTGCGGTTTACAGAGAAACTGAAGAAAACCCATGGTTGGACGCTTCTGATTATTGACAAGAACGAAGAAACGCTCTGGACTCCCGTCATCGGTCTTCTAGCTCCGCGACGATGCAAGATTGTATCTTAACTATAATACATATATACGCTTTAAAAAAAATATACCTGATAAACATGTCTTTACTTTATTCATCAGCACACACAATCTTCCTGATAAATATGTTAATTTTTGTTTTATTTTTGTGCTACATCCTCTGAGACTAGATTCGAAAGGTGCAACCGTGTTAGAAATAAACGATTATACACTTTTGATCATTTTCTGATTCATTTGTCTCTGTACTTCAGCAACGACAAGTGATCGAAAGTGTCTACTCACGGATTACATGTAAAATGTTTTTTCCATGAATTTGGGAACAATAACATCAAACAGGTGCTGATTCATTAAAATATTCAACTCGTTTAATGTTAAAACGGAATATGTTAGACAAAATTATAGCAATTTAGCTATAATAATCAGCGAGGAAAATATATTTTGCAAAATAATAAATAGTAGCATGTCTCTAAAATTGCTATAATTTTGTCTATTATCTAATGATTGTGAATGAGCATGGATGAACATTTTTCAGTTCAAAGTGCTATATTAAATTCAAAAATGCAAGTTACGATTTGATTAATTCGCAAAATACTGTGAGAGCGCAACTTGTTCACTAAACAATTTTCCTATATCTGTATTACTTGAAAAACATAAGGCAAAATAGATTCTCTTCATACGCTCTTAAAGCGTACATTTCAGTTTTGTAATTAAAGATTTGCATTTATTCTTGATTATAAAGTGTACAATTATAAATGCATATAAGCATATCATAAATATGATATAACAGACTCAAAGTATAAGATAAATTCCAGTGATGATTCTACGAGGAGAACACAATATTGTTATAGTAATTAAAAGTCTTTCATGTCTCAAATTATGAAAAAGAAATCTATCCTCCGTATGGTATTTTAGAACAAACTATCGTTGAATGAGTTTTTTAGTTGTATTATTATTTAATCAATGACTATTTAATATGATTATAAAATAAATTATGTATAAAACTAACTATAAGCTGTTCCCGCATGAAGGAGTCGGAGGAAGTTATAAATAATACTTTATTTAATTGTCGGCAAAATTGGAATGGCAAAAAGCAAACGGCGTGAACGGTTCACCTTTCGAAGAATTTTTTTATCAGATGTATTACAAACGAACAATGATACAAGATTACTCTGTGAGACAAAATTGTAAATATCCACTCGTATTGTATCACATAGTTCGTTCCTTTTTTAGCTGAACCCTTTACGGTCCACTCTTGTATGCGTATGATAATTCTAATTTATAAATCGCTTTAATCGTGTATTACCATTTGTATATTGCGTGAAGTGTTTTCATTATTTTCTCGATTTTACTTACTGAACTGATTTTAACTGGAAGCGTTAAATTTTTTAGAGAGAATGAAAAGGGAAGAAGACCGCAAAGGGCTGAGCGTGTACTTTTAAACAAGTACCAGGAAACCGACGAAGGACTCTCACAGAGTGCAGTACAAGATAGTTAATACTCTGTTGTGCAACAAAAAACAGGGGATCCATCCTCTATACATTTTTGTTGTAACATACGAGATCTGCATGATCACACTTGTGAACGATTATGTTTCTCGATGTGCCATTTTAAACTACCATAGTTTAACGACAGGTAGAGATAAGAGACGCTTAATTGAGCATGACCAACTCATAGTCCAATTGTTCTAGTTCTGTTCGTTTCGATCCTTTGCGATATTGTTTTGTCCAGTTACAGGATTCAAATCTCTTTAGTTTTTCTTTGTTTCGGTCACTGTGTTTCGATAGTCATTTACAGATTAATTTATTCTATATATGTAGGTATTCACATAATTAATTTTGTACAGTTTTTCTTTCCAAAGAGACTGATCTATTGATTTAATTAAAGAACGTAGAGAAAAATCTGTGAATAGCGTTATGAAAATTGTTCAAGAAAGATTGGTTTCTAAAAATACTGTAACTCGTAAGATCACGATAGTTCACTACAAATGACAATACAAGTACCATTAGAGAGATGAAAATAGGATCGCAAAGGATTAATATAAGAATGTGCTCTTTATTTGAAACTCGAATCAACTTTTATGCACAAGCCATATCTTAGTTTAATGATTAAATTGTGGACAATTCGACTATAAGTATAGCTTTTAAAGAATCAAATGTATAAATCGTAGTTCTTAAAATGATTTCCAAGTTTCAACAAAAGAAGAACATTTTCCGCGTTAGCACCTTCAGTGTCAGTTTTTTATGTACAGATATTTTTTTATTTCATTAAGGATCACCGAAAAAGTGTCATCGTAGTTTGACAATTTTGTTTTGTTTTTGAAAAAGAATATTTTTCAGGGAGTTTCGTCTTGCCAGAGTAAAAAAGGACACTTAATCGCATTCAAATAGACGCTAATGTAATTTTATATAGAGTACTATTTTTTCGTTTCATTTTGAAAATGAACGAAAGACTGCACTACATTCTTAAATTAAAAACATGCGACAACTATTTTTTGCGTGCTAATAATAAGAATTGTCCATTTAAATCGCGTTGCTCAAGTTCGAAGTTACAGCTTTTAAGAACTTCTTCATATTCTCATTTTTTGTTTTTAACATGATATCGTTTATAAAATGGTTTGTACATTTCTTTTTAATCTGATTATGTTTCAAATATTAATTTAGTTCTGTAACTTCTGCCCTAAATTTATTTACTGGCCTTAATTCTGATTGCGTTTTAAATGAATAATTCTTTACTTATTTTTATCGAGAGTACAAAGAGCTGTGAAAACTTTTTAATCGTAGCTTTATTTTTTTAATAATTTATACTTAATCACACGACATTCTGTCTTATAAGTATCATATTTTGTTAATAGAAACCTCAAGGGACAAAGAAAATTATATACTCGTTCTTACACAATAGGATCAAATACATAACTAACTTTTGAAGAGCGCTTTGTACCATATAGTATTATTGAAAACAATCAATTACATGATTATCAAGAAAGTTCGAATGCAGCGAAGAGTTGAATTCGACTTCTATGAAAGTATATCAGACATTGTTAATATTTAATGAGCTCAAACTCGACGAATTTTGTAACGTCGAGAGAACATAAAATCGCATCTTTTGTAAGTAAGTATTAAGTATTTAATTTCAAATTATGTATGCAATGAATTGCGTAGAGAACTCTAAAATATTTCATCAGTTTATTACAGTATTTTTTTCATTCTATTCTATATACAAGTTGAATAAGAAACAAATGAGTTTCAGTGGATAAAACTGTGAATCTCTTATTATAATCGACAAGATGTTCCATTTCTCAAGAACATGTACGATGTTCGTTTCAAGGTGTTCACGTCATGTCAAAAGTACATTTTTAATTCAGTGCAAGCTTTTAAACATTTGTAACGTTTTTTAAAATATTGTAGGAACAAATGTACGGGACGCAAATATTATTGTACGCACTACAATTTTTATGATTTCATAGAAAATGCTGAATGAAGAAAATTAAATTGTATCTATATATAATATCAAAGTTTTACAAAGTTAGATTATTCCTATTTTCTGGTGAATTTTGCATTCGAAAAGAGAAATTAAGTCTTACAGACGTAAAAGTATTTTGTTGAAGGACGAGAATAACGAGAGTTAAAAGAAAATTTTAACAAAATGTACATAACAATAATACGATGCGCATTTCTCGTGAAAAACAGCGTTTACATATTTTGCACATAAATTACTCGTTACAATTTTTTCTTTTGGCATACATATAATACAGCATGCGATTTTTATGTCGTACCATTTAAACCAGCTCGTATTTTTATTAAGTCGAAAATAGAGATTGCCTGGAGAGATATATATGGAGTTAAGAAGGGGTAAGTGTACACATAAACAGAATACACTTTTCAAAAGTTGACTCACTTTACCGAACGATACACGAGCTAAAATTTTGTTCTAGCGCACCAATTAGTTAATTGCTTTAATTATGTAAGCAGAAACGATTTAGGTTTAAACCGAATCAGCCTACGTTCAAGCATTCAAATAATACTGCGGATTTTTATGCAATATGAAATATTTAAAAGATCAGATCTAAATATAATTTCTTTTATTCAAAAACAATATACATTTCTCTTTTGATGTTTTCTGTACATCTGTGAACATTATGTATCTTTAAATTTTTCTATAAATGCATCAAATCCGTAGTTTACAAATGACTAACATGTTAAGTATCTAAGTTTTTCAATACCCTTTTTATAGTACATATTCATTTATTCACTGTTCTATTTATGGATTCGTTAAAAATTTTTAATTAACATGCTAGTTTCACGAGTACTCGAAATCATTGATTTCACGATTGTTCAAATTTCATCTGAAATCTATATATAAAGTGGAAAAAATGGTAGCTGGTAACATAATTGAAATTTGAGCATCGTCTTCCATTATTATAAAGAAACATTGTACGATCAGTGACGAGATCGAGATTTCATATGCGCTCAGTTTATACATACATACTTATGTCTAACAATTCTTGTCACTCGTGCCTTTTTATAATTTTTAATTCCAGCACGAACTATTTGAACGAGTTTCTTATGCGACCTCGAGTTGAATTCTTTATAGAAAATGAAGAATAATTAATCAATTAGATAAATAAGATTAATTGCATCTCAGTTATTCTTTAAAAAAAGAACAACGAGTATATAGTACTATAAATCACTAAGATTTCATATACGTTCGACTTATTAATATTGTATTTTTCTAATGAAATGAACAAATAGACAAATAAGATGAATTGCATCTCAATTATTGCATCGTTTACGTTAAAAAGAGAATACGTACAGTATTATAAATCAATGAAGATTTCATATACGTTTAATTCATTGATATTGTATTTTTCTAACGGTCAGTTATTACTAATGGAACTATGAAACTGCAATAGATTTAAGTATTGCGTGATAGAAGAAATTGTTACCATCTCTAGTCAAAGTTTATACGTATATTAATATTTTAGTATCATAAAATATTTTATGGAACAATTGAAGAAGAAAAAATGAAGTCGCGAGTTTTACGTGGTGGATTCGCTCAGCGTGAAAAGAGAAAAGTACTTTACAAATAATCAATTTTCCCATTGTGATTCATGTTTGACAATATTTTGGCTCGTTACCGTAGGCTAAGCAATTTCGGAAATATTTATGCAAACTCAGGCGACCGTAAACGATATTCTGAAAGCATTATTCTAGCATTCATTAATTCTACTTTTACATTATTTAAAGGGATGCTCTGGTTTTGAATGTCATTGTTTAAACCATTTTTAGGTACTTCGTTTAAAAGAGCTATTAAACTCTTCGCATTATGGGTATTTAAAACAGGTAATAAATCTTTTTGAACTAAGAACAATCAAAATTTCATGAGAATGGAAAAAGTTTAGGAGTTCTTTTAGATATATTCCAACAGATTATTTAAATAATGAAATTGAACACCAGAATACATGCTTATAAGACCATTTCTTTTGTGCATTGCTTTACATCGTTAAAAATATATTTTTCAATAAAAATATTACGAACATTATATTATGCTAATTGATTATGACATATGTGTTTGTAAGTTAATCCGAACATATAACAGTAAATGTATCACAAATATGTGCAATAATAGAATAATTTTTATAGGTCGAGGTTATGTACAATAATTCGATCGGGTGCATAATGCATCCCCTATTTTTCGCATCAGAGAGAACTTGCACAAAACCCTATAGAATCATTTTAAAGAACCATCAAAATACTAATTTTACTTACTTCGCATATGTTTTGATCTCTGTAAATGTTTAGGATTGTTAAAATAATAATGTATATAATCCGAATGCTTCAGGATACGTAAATTAAAAACAAATAAAATAATATATTAAATAAGGTAAGTGTAAAACTGAAATTTAACTACTATGACCACGTTGCATTTACGATTATGATTAATTTATTATAAGAATTTGCTCAATTTTAGATCAATTATCTCTCTGTACAAATGAAGTTAGATTTTTATTCTAATACTACGACTTTTTATATGATTTTAAAAATTAGATTTTTGGAACATTTATTCATGTCATATGATTTAATTAATTCATTATATAAGAGAGAATTTGCTCATATTCAGATCAATTATCTCTCTGTACACATAAAATTGTACTTATATTGTAATGCTACAAGTTTATGTGACTTTAGAAATCAGATCTTCGAAACATTTATTATATAAAAGAATTGCTCAATCGTCAATCACGTATTCTCACTGTAACTTTTATTATCATTTTGTACAAACGAAATTGTATTTGAGACAACGTTTATATTCTACTGCGATTTACAATAACATCGCGAGAAATTCGAGAAATGATTTCCTAATACCCGTTTAGTTGTTAAACTGTGAGATTTGTCTGTGATAAAAATTTGTAATTCGATAATAAATTTGTACGTACACGTACATGTTTTGTTCGGAAAAGACTAGATGTGTAATGCGCATACTTTATCCTCTCCTTAAAAGATCTACGCTTATATATTCGTTATGCAACAAACGGATAATTGTCATGCACATTAAGAATGAAGATTACAAGTCGTCAGTTTCTTTTCTATCATACAATTCACGTGGTAAGCGTGGCCACAATTGAATATCGCGATTCCGTTGGTACCCAATAAGACCGGCGTTTGAAGGGGCAAAGTACAACAAGGACACGTGGATAATTTATTCTGATATTGCATTCCCCAATGATGCGAACCGTTACCAAACTGATTTTTATTAATGGGCTTACTTAAATCCTTCTGAAGAACTTCTGTTAACTGATTTCGAATCTGGAAACAAAGTAAAATATTTACTTTGATATATAATTTGTGCTTAAAAATAAAATGAAAAAGGTGAAGCCCTTAACAATTTGAGAAAGTCTAACTTTTGTTTATTAACATTATATTAATTATTCTGTGATAAAGTATAAGTATATTTAGGATTAAACTAATTACCTTTGTGGAACACATTGTATTATATTCAGACGACTCCAGATTGCTCTCATTAAAATTAATAGCACACTTCATTCCATGTTGGTACAAAAGTTTCGTAAATATCAATGACTGAAACATACTGTAACAAATTGTTTATATTTAATCTTGCCATATTTATATTATTATATTAACTAGAAAAATTTGGGCCACTATTTTTTATATATTTAAGACATATAAAATGAATCAATAAATATTTAAAGTTATCCACTAGTCATGAACTTCAATACAAAGCCTGCCAGATGTATACTTCACTTCGTCAAAATATAAGGATACACTTATTTAATCAATTCAAACGCATGAAATCATTAAACAAGATCTTGTATGTGATACTTATCGACTATGTGTACGTGTATGTGTATATCTGTACATGAATACACACAATTAATAAAAATTATTATCGAATAGTGTAAACTATTAAATTTCATTTAAACTACAAAAATGTTCTGATGCTAATTATTTGGCTATACAATAAAGAAAAAAGAGAATTACCTCCTATCAATAGGAACATTGGGAATAGCTTTCTCCAATTTCGTTAACAATGCCAGTGCAACATCAGATCCCTGTTTTTTTATGATCTCATATATCACAGCCGTCCAGTTCATCTCCTCGTTATTCCCCGACTTCATAGACTTGCCGCAGAACAAACACTGTCCCTCTTGCATTTCCTTCGCATACGTCGCTACCAGATTCCACTGCTTTCCATCCATCAAAGGTAAAATGATGGAGATCACGTTATTATCCCTAGTTTGAAGGCACTGACGAAGCAGATCGTTCGTCATCGCGTGCCGTTCTATGTGCAGAGGTAAATACTCTCTCCACATGTAAGGTACTTTGTTACATAAACTTAAACACTGCTCTTTATCCTCGTCTACTATTTTCCTAAGAATGGACCTCCCAATCCCAAGAAACTTTGGTTCTATCAGTTCGTTCATCAGCCATGGACTACCGCAGGTACATCTTCTACAATTTTGACCGTTCGCGTTAACGAAAGCTTTCATTAGTTGCTTCACGATAGTCTCGTTGTCCGTAAACTGTATCATTTGCGTCGAGACGTTTTCTAACAGAGCATTGAAATAATAGAGTTGCACGCTTCTCAATACCTCGTATATGAAGCTTTTTAACTCGATTACGGTCTCGTAGGTATCTTTGATAACGTCCATTCTCCAATCTATGTCTAATATTATCCTTTCTAACTCTTCCTCGTCCATGGAAGGCCTAATGTTATCTATTAATCCGTATATAGCTTTCAGATCTGCTTGTATCCTTTGCGTTATGCTTTCATTTGGATCCTCTTCCTTTTCTTTCTCTATGTTACAATTTGCATCTTCGTTTTTCCTTGCCTCATTATCAGACTCGTTTATTAAATTGTTTAACATTTCGTTCTTCGTTTCTTCAATGCTCTGCGAAGAACAGGAATGGAACCTGAGGTCTTCCACGTCTTTCAGATCAGATACTCCGTGATTAACAACAACTATACCCGAATCTAATTTTTTAGGAGTTTTCTTTGAATTTGACTCTAATAAAATTATCAGAGGATGTAATAACGTCGACAATTCATCATCCCTAAGTGTTTGCAATTTGTTTTCTGTATCACAAATATGATCGGTATCTGCACTACTTGCTAATTTCTTTAATTGTACTTTATAAGCTATGCATACTTCTAAACATTCGTAGTATCTTTTCTTATTATACAACCGCGATATTAACGAATCTAAGAAAGACAAAGTTAAACAATGGAATTCCCCATCGGAAGTCATCAAATATATCTTATTTTTTATAGTCTCAGCATAATTTATGTTTGAGAATTCGTTATTCCATAATACCACTGTCGCAGTTGTAGGATCCATTATATATAAACCAGTGGAAGTATACGAAAATAAATATTTCTCTCCGATAACAAATAAATGAGAGAAGTTGATAGACTGTGGTAGCCAAGTTTGCTCCAGTTGCTTTTCATAAACTGGTTTTCTGAAGTTCGGCCTACATATCGTCGCAGGTGGTACAGCTAATGCTTCTTTAAACTGATGAGTTTTCATCACTACGCCATTTACAGATACCTCCCAAAGTCTCGATCCTGGCCTGGCGCAAAATACTTGAGCAAAATTTTCTTCCGGTACTTTGTTATTAGCATCAATGATAAAATTAAACGAGCCTTTTTCGTTAACTAATTTTTCATCTTTCTGTGTTATTACCGGAGTTTTCTCCTTGGACAGAGTTTTATAGAAACAAGCACCGAAAGCACCGTTTCGTGCTTTGTTTCCAATCTGCTTGTACTGTTCTTGTACCGTGTCGCATATGTAACAGCGAGTCAACGTCGATACTAAAAGTAGAGGTGAAGAGAAACTGAGCTGCACAATGCCTGAATCTAGATTCATTAACATACAAGCTGGTGCTTGAAACATCCCGTTAACCTGGAACGTCCAGTTATTGTTTTATTGCATTTGTATACCATTACGATTTGTTTCAAGTTTTAAGACAGGGCCTTACCGTAAAAATAGACAACACCATAACAGAAACTTTACCATTTTCATCCCCGATATACACTTCGGAGCTGTTATCGTTCCAACAAAGACAATTAATTTGTTCGTTAACGTGTTCCATGGATATGGCTATTAGTTTTGGTGATGGTTTCAAGGCTACTAGACAAACCACTCCACGAGTTGTTGTCAGAGCGATTGTTTTCTCATCAGGTGATATGAGAACATATGAAACTGCCCCTTCCTATTATTAAAAAAGAGATCATTGAAATATAATTATGCTTCATACCTAATCTTGACATTGTAAACCAGGGATTTACATGTTCCATTTTTTTGTGAACAATAGTTCTCGTAAAAATTCATGTAACTTTATTGATAATTCATGAATTGTACAAAATATTTGATATTATCT